GGGTTTTTTTTTTTTTTTTTTTTTTTTTTTTTAGGTAAAGATGGCTATATTGCATGCTTCTCATTTTTCTTTGCCTTTCTCATTTTTTATTTAGAATTTTCTCCCAAACTGGTTGGCTTGACTGGCACAAAAGAAAATATCGATCAAGTGGCCAGAGCATACAGAGTGTATTACAGCCCTGGCCCCAAGGATGAAGATGAAGACTACATAGTAAGTAAATGTCCTGGTTTTCATGCATGGGCTGGCACCCAAATACTCATAGTTTTAAATGGCCAGCTTCTAAGATTGTTACAGATTCCTTGGGAGTTTCAGATATTCGAAAGAAAACAAGCATTGTTCTTAAAGATGATTATTTATTTTAACTGCTCATAATTTAATTGCTTAGACTTCTTTTCTAGTGGTGCATAAAATTTGAGTCACTATAAAATCATTACTTGGGTACCATGTTGGAAATAAAAAGGACTCGATGTGTTGAGAAAAAGCTTGTTATTAGTTTCATTTAACTCCAATTATTTATTTACAGAATGACCCAAAATTGCATATTTTTTCATTAATTTTATAAGGAAATATAACAGAAAATATAAAAACAATAATTTTATTAAATTTATTCAACATAAGAATCAACTGGTTGAAATGTTACCTGCCTGAGTGATGCTCGAGATAGTATATAAACAAACTTGCTGCCCCAAGTGATGTTGGGATAAACTGTTTAGTGGTTAAAAACATCCTGCTCCCCGAGTCCTCCATGAGGAAGTGTTAGAATATCCTCCTTTATAGAAGCACATCTAGGCCACGGGGAATTACAAATTTGGGTTGAATGAATATTCTGAAAAGCAAGACGAAAGATGCAAGCTATCAGAAAGTAGGCTTTCTGTAAGGTTTACTTGCGTATCAACTATATGCCTTGCACAGTTTGGTTTACTGTATGCTTTTTTAATAATGAGAAACAGAAATTCTGTTAAGTTCTACTCCTGTGGTGCTTGCATTAAAGAGCCATCTTTGTGTTCATTGGTGCTACCCAAGTGATCTTAAACTGATGCCCAGGTTCCTATGTCCTTTTTCTTATCAGTGTATCTTATCTTGTAGCAATAAGGGCATAAGCACTGCCCCTGCCCATCAAGCTTTCTTTTAATATGGACAATTTTTGCTATCATGTTAAGATGTGATACTGTATTATAGTAGTATTACAAATTGTTTTTTCAGTTGTCATTCTGGTTTTCCTGTAATACTAATTTGGCAAAGTGATTAATCAAGAGCCTTTCCCGCTGCAAAACTGATTTTATGAAACATGATGGCTAGGACCTTAAACCATGGATCCACCAACTTGTCCTTAGAGCAATATGGAGAGGTGCCATCTCGCTGTGGCACTTTGACGCTCCTGCCCACTGTGACTTCTCCGTCACTTTTGAACTAGGACCACATTGTGCACTAAGGCTTAACTTAAAAGGCTTCTGGTTCCTCTGCCCTAAATAAGCCTACACATTAATCATACCTCCCAGGTATGGTGCCTGATGGCATTAGGGAAACTTGGATAATGGGAAAAAGGGACAAAAGAAAAATAAGCATTTTTCTTTTAAGCCCTAAGTTTAAGGAAAGTGGACAGACCCTGCTGCAGTTTCCTCTTGCTGCACTGTCAGCTTGAGAAGAAAGAAGAAGGGCCAGGGGTTTAGCTCAGTGGTTCTGCTGCCTGCCTCAAATTCACAAGGACCCGAGTTGGATCCCCAGTACCCCCGCCAAAAAAAAGAGAAAAGCAGAGGGGAGCAGGGGCTGAGAGAGAAAGCCATGGGCAAAAAAGGACTTTTCAGACTTCTGCACTTTTCTACAAATTGCATTAACTGCTTTGGAATTTAACTGGCGATGGCATTGGGAGCATGGGAACACTTAAGTCTGACTTCAGCCTTTACAGATTTTTATTAAGTTGTGTAAATACTAATAGTCCTAATGTAGTTAGTACTCTAGTCTTGTGTGGACATTTCATGACTCTATAGTCAGAAAGAAATGCTATAAATAAAATCAAACAGCTTATAAAACTCGAATTTAAAACATTCACTTAAAGTGATGAGATACTTTACTGAAACCAAAGCAGTGCTCCTAGAAATGGATTTTGGTTCAAATATCAAACTATACTATCAACTGCTCCTCCGCAATTTTCTTTTTCTTTTTAAGTACTTTGGAATCTTTGATTGTGTACTCTTCCCTGACTGGTGGGTCTTGATGCAGCAAAAAACACACCATTTTCATGTGTTCTGCTTATAAACTAGTAGTTTGCAGCCAGGTAGCAGTGAGGCCATAAACAAACCAAACAAGTTTGGGCCCTGAAATTTGTGCTCATGGCACAGATAATACAGAATATGATATTAGTTTTTTAATCTTAAAATTAAAATGAAAATGGGCGAGACTTATGTAAACTGATTTGACCCTTTGTAATACATCCTATTTTGAGATAATACTAGTCAACTGCCATAAGAATTTGACCTTTTGATAAAAGTGAATTCACTGCTATACATTTGCTAACTCATCCAGTATGAGGAGACACTGTCTGCCTCTTGGGCTTTTATTAGTATGAATTTGTGCTTTGAGGCCTCAGATTTTTTTGTGTGAGATGGTCTGAGAAACTTCTACTAAGATTTAAGGACCTGTGAGGAGTGATGGGGGGTGCCTTAAAGATTAGCCTTGAGTTATAGTGGAATGAGATTTTCATCTCAGGCAATAGCAACAAGAGGTAAACTTAAAGAATTTTTGGATGGAATCTTCAGACTGATAAGTATAAACGAGCATGCCAAACATTTAGGATTCCTTAGAAATCTAAATCTGCATGTTCTTGCATATCTCAGTTATAGTAGGAATTAGAAAATACTTTTGAAAAAAGAATACAGTTGGCTTTCAAACATAAGATGCTATTTCATAATAAAAGAAATGTGAGTTGAATGAGATACCATTTTTCACCCATTACTTAAGATATGGTCAAAGAGTTTGAAAATCTGTTGTAAATTAGAAAAGTAGGAAATACACAGAATTTGAAACAAGGCTTTTCTTGTTGTGTGTTCATTTGTTTGTTTGTTTGTTTTGGCATTACTGGGGATTGAACCCAGAGCCTTCACACTTGGCTACATCATAGCCATTTTTATTTTTTATTTTGAGACACTAAGTCACTAAATTGCCTCAGGCTGGCCTCGTATTTGTGATCCTCCTGCATCTGCCTCCCAGAGTGCTAGGATTATAGGTGTGTGACACCATTCCCACTGCAACTATTCTTTAAAAAGATGTAATACCTGGTTGATCTAGAACAGTGACATATATAGTTAAATAAGAAAGCAAACATGACATGTTACTTGTGTATAAAAATAGATGGTAGTGGATGTATACATACAATAGTAAGTGCAGAACATTTCTCTTGAAAAATGCAGTGGTTCCTTCTGAAAATAACTGAGGTACTGTGGGAGTTCAGAATAGGAAGAAGGGTATAAATTTATTGGATTTTTTGTGTATACATTTACTGTTTTAAACAATAAAAATACATATTTTTGAAAGTTACACATTAGAAAAACTGAGTTGCTGTTTTCCAGTAGAATTAGAGATGGTGGCAACATGATGATAACATGATAAGATTGTGATTTTAAAATAGGGCAGAGGTTTCAAGTTGGGTCTGACATTCACTGGTTATACAATTCATGCACTCCAGCCTGTTGTATACCTATCTCAGGTGTGACGTATGAGTGGATATGTTAATAATCCCTTGTTTCCTTCTTCTATATTAGGAACAGTAGAGCTTTGAATACTTCTATAGTAGAACAAATACCAATTTGCTCTGTCTCCATCCCAAATGAATACTAAGAAGTGATCACTAACGAGTTTGATAGCTACAGGTAGAAGGTTTCTATTTATGTATAAGGAAGTAATTTACATTAAAAACACTTAGGGGCGGGGGATTTAGCTCAATTGTTATGCCACCTGCCTCATAAGCACAAGGTCCAGCATTTGATCCCTGGTACCAAAAAATAAAAATAAAACACTTAGAAAATAAATCCCACATACTATAATTCTGCTTTTTAAGGAAGAGACTAGAGAAAAAGTAGAAATGGGGAAAGGAGAGGTATAAACTGCAGAGTAAGTCTAGAGAGATCTGGAGACTTGATTCGGGTTTCTCTATCAAATGTGTGGAGACCATCGAGCCCATCTTGCCCTACAGTAAATCCTTTCACAACACATGAATTCACCAGCTGTTGGAACTCTCAGTGGCATTCTTTCCTTATGGGGTAGGCAAGTGGCTCTTTCCATTTGCTGTCTCCTTATGAATGTGTATATATAAAGGAATAACCTCACAGACATACAATGCGTGTCAGGGTGTATTTAGGGGAGTGTCTCCAGTTTGGTATGTGTGATCACATTCCTTTTTTTTTTCTTCCTGTCTTGCCAAATGGCAGTCAAGACTGCATTAAATTCCTAGGACTTACAGGGCCAAATTGGCTCTTTTAAAATTGGATTTTGTGGAAGCAACTTAACTAAAACATTGATGACTAATCTAAACGTCAGTTAAAGCTGGGAATGTTTTAAGAACTTTGTCAGAAAAATAGATGATAGATTGAAGAGGACTCCTCGGCTGTACCATTTATGGCTTCTGAGGCATTTTTAGGTGATTTACCTCAGATAGGATCGTTCAGTGTAGGTTGTAAACATTTCTTAGGGGAGAAAAACACATCTTCCTGTTTGTGTCTGAATTACTAATATCAGGACTAAATATTGTGTTGGGACTTTTACATTATAGAATTGAACCAGTGGTTAGCTTTCTGGCTTCGCTTAAAAAAACTATAAGCAGCAGATAAGCAACAATGAATGAGAACCAGTTTTTCCTAGAATACACACAGATATACCCAAGAATGTACTAGAGAAAGTAGTTTCTCAGAAGCACTTTAATTTCATGTGACATCTCTTTATACTGTGATGAAGGAGTCCAAGGGGAGATTTTTTACTCAAAAGTGTGCTGTTCCACAAGCACTGGCCATTTTATGAAGGCCTACAGCAGCCGTGTCCTAGAAGGTGAGTGCTTTGTTCAGAGACTTCGTGCCTAAGTATGTTAGGATTTCAACCAAAGAATTATAGATGCTTGCTGATGTTACAAACGATAGCTGGTGCAAATTTCTGGAACACAAAAGATTTTAGACACTCTATTGCTGCTATAATAGATGCTACCTGGCTAGTTAGGTGTTAACAGAAAGTTATCTTATCCTACAGCATTCATTCAGTTTAATAAGCAGCTTATTTTGGTGATCTTTTTGTCACACATTCCTCCCTCGTCTCTGCAGGTGGATCATACAATAATAATGTACTTGATTGGACCAGATGGTGAGTTTTTAGATTATTTTGGCCAGAACAAGAAGAATGCAGAAATAGCTGGTTCGATTGCTGCACATATGCGGGCCCACAAGAAGGCACATATAAAGAAGAGCTAGCCAGAGCGGTAACACTGGATACAGTGTTCTCTTGCCAAAGAGGAAGAAAGCTTTGTCTCCCCCAAGAACTGGTGTGTGTGTGTGGGTGTGTGTGTGTGCGTGTGTGTGTGTGTGTGTGTGTGTGCAACCTAAAGAACAGCCTTCATACCACGAGAACGTATGTATTTTACACAGGATATTACCCTAAGGTTCAGCCAAGATTCTTAGAACTCTGAAGCTTAAAGCCAGTCTCCCAAGTAGCCACCATGGGTCCAGAGGACCAAGTTAAAGCGAGGCCAATGGAGAGCCTACCTCACTGTACCATAGCAGGGAGAGGCTTGTGGTGCAAGTGCCCCTGGGAATAGGGCCTCTAAGCAACATCACCACCTTGTCAGTGTCTCGGACTCTTGCTTATACAGATTGTAGAGCTGAATTTTACAGAAAAGAATGTAATTTCCATAGTGTTGCATTCCTCATCTTGAGTTCTTTGTGGCCGATAACTGTCAGGTCAGGCTCTCTGCTCTTCAAAGTTAATCTTTATACTTGAAAGCAAAAATTGAGTCTTTCTTGATAACCAGCATCACTGTCATGTTGCATTTCATTCCCCCATCAGCAGATGCTGATTTGACCAGTGAGGAGGAAAGATCTATTGTTTGGAGAAAACCTTAGTTTGATTCCTTGATGGGTCTTCTTGTGATGTTTTTTTAACTGAATGATCTTCTATACCAAATGGAAATAAGAGGATTGATCATGAAAATGTGATGCAGAATATTTTTCTGCACTTACCAGATTTTACTATATATGAAATAAAGATGTGTTAGATTTGCAATTTGGACAAGCATGAATTGTCTCCTGGGTAAAGAGTGGATGTGTGGATGGCAGCCCATAGCACCCAGCACAGAGACCCACACTCTAACGTGGGTGGGTAGATGAGTACTGGTTTTTTGTTTTTTTTTTTGTACCGGGGATTGAACTCAGGTCCTTGGACTTGCAAGGCAGGCCACTGAACTGCTGAGCTAAATCCCCGGCTAGATGGGTACTCTTTAAATACAGACTCCCAGGCCAGAGCTGATACACTGAGGTGGAGAGGATTCGGAGGCCTGCATTCCACACTGTTATCTGGCAACTCACACGCTGGGAATGGCTCAACACTTAAGTGCTAAACTTTATACCGTGGTACCTCAGTTCACAAACTTAATTAGGTCCACAATTCTGGGGGAAATGGCCATGTCCGTGTTCATGCTATTAGATGACCATGGCTGTATTCGTCACCAATGGCAGAGTTGGCAAACAAAAACAAAATTTTGCCAAACAGTTCTGCTTTTCAACTAAATTATTCACAAATGTGTACATGAACCAAGATATCACTGTACATGTGTCAGTGGGAAAAAGGAAGGGAAGGAGGGAAAAGAAAGAAAACTGTGGCTATTTAGCTGAAGCATGTTATATTGGGATTTAAAGAGGTAAGTAAATTAGGTGTAGGCCCTCCCTACACTAATATTATTGATGCCAAGAAAATAAGAAAACAAAACAAACAGGATACATGAAAACAGGTAAGATCTACTAGTCTCAAGAAACCTCTAGAAAAACCAACCCAGCTAGAACCTTGATCTTGGACTTAGAAGCTCCAAAACCTTGAGAAAATAAATGTCCTATGAACCAACTCTGTCTGCGGTGTTTTCTTAAGACAGCCCCAGCAAACCAGTACAATAGCTTAGTCTTTAAACAACTATAAGATTTAGTTCATCCTGAAAGTAGTTGGTTTGGAATGACTTTCTCAGGAACCTTATCAAGAAAGTGAGGAACTTTAAGACTAGTCTCTTCTAAGAAGAGATTAAAGATCTAAAATGTCAAATGTTTTAAAACATGGTCTGTTTTAAGCCACAGACATTTGTGTGGATCACTTTGCAGCAAGCTTGCTCTCATAGAAAATGTAGTCTTCATTCTCAGCTGTTGCAGGTTGGAGCTTGAGTAATGATCCAGAAAGGGAACAGCAGCTTTTTAAGAAATGTTTCATTTGCTCTTCATTGCAGTGTCAAGCTTAAAGGCTTAGAGTAAGGAGGATAGAGGGAGAGCTGGGGCCTCCGAAATGATCCTTTCTGCGAAGGGACACGCCTTGATTATTGGGCACAAAACTTGAGTCTCAAGTTTCTATTCTGGTTCCTGCTCATTCCACTGCTATGGGATGCCTGGGGTAACCATGTGACCACATCCAAATCTAGGGTTCCATGGGGCACCAATGACTAGACCATCCTGGCTAATCAAAGTCGGCTACAATCAAGTCTCACAGATCTGAGTAGGTTAGAGCATTTACTTTAGTGGAATTAATATTTTAAGAAATGCCATTTGTTTGAAAACAAAAGAATACTGTCAGTGCAAGAGGCATGAAAGTAATGCATGTGGCTATTCATGAAGCAGCTGATACTTTGGGTGCAAGAACAGATTTACTGGGGACCAGTAAAACCCACCTGAATTAGAAGGCTGCAGGAAGAGCCTTCCTGCTTCCTTCAAATAAAATTATTTATTTTGTTGTTGTAAATGCTCCTGCGTGTTTTTAAATCTGTTACTTTTAAAATATGTTTAAAAAATTAAAGTGTTAACCATAATGTCCCAAACAACTGTTGTCTTTTTTCCTATTGCACAATGTAAATAAATATGTATGTGTGTGAGAATGCATCCTCTTTAAAAAGAATAGTCATTCGTGAAGCATTTTTCATCCATTTAGTTTATACTTTTTATTGGTGTTATGTTTTTATGAGTTACATTACTCTGATAAGAGTGATTATTCCTCTTAATAAGGTATAATGTCACCTCTTTAGTGAGATCTTCTTAATAACGTTTATTTTTAAGATATATTTTAAAGCTTGTGTATTCTTCCATAAATATACAATCCTGTATAGGAAATTTTGGAACATAGAGAAAAGTTGAAGGGAAAAAAATGTAAATCACCATTTTTATATTGTTTACTGGGCCAGAAATTCACAAATGGATTCCTTTAAGAAAAAATTAGATATGATAGACTGAGCTCAAGTCTCCCCTCTCCTAGACCCCTACTCATAGGCAACTATTGCTTTCTGTTCAATGTGTATTTTCCCAGCACATTCCCCAGTCTGTGTTATTGTGTTATTAGCAACAAAGCTTAAGAGGGAGGGTTCCTTCAGGATGTCCTTCAGGATGTGACCTTTGGTAAAATAGAGACTTGTGAGGATCTGGGAGATCTTCCAGGATCTCCAGGAGGTGCAAGGCCCACACACCATTGTGCTTGGGTTTGTGCTCCAGGAACAGCAGGAAGCAGGGTGAGGCAGGAAAACCATGGGGATTAGGTCAGAGAAGTGGCCAGGAGCCACCCTCCACAGGACTCTGCGGTTCATGGCAGGAACTTCAGTTTTCCTGTAAGTGGGAAGCCTAGCAAGCAATAACCTGACTCCCATTGGCCCAAGGTCCCCTAGTTAAGTCACTAGGAAGTAGACAATGCTAATGTCAATAACTTCATTATACAATTTCATGGGCACCTTTATGTGTATACTTAATTGGAGCAAAATTAGAGGATTTTTCTCTTTATTGTGGAAATTTTCCAACATATTCAAAGAATAGAACAGTCTACTATTCATTAGAATTTGATGCACTAAACAATACTTAACCAGGCCAAAAGATGGTCTTTTTTATCTATACCTCTGCCTGCTCCCATCACAGCCCAATTCCAGCCAACTTTGTCTTTTAAAAACATCTACAGGGCCCAGGATTTAGCTCAGTGGTGCTACTGCCTGCCTTGCCAGCACAAAGTCCTAAGTTTGAGCTCCAGCATTAATAAATAAATAACTACAAGCCAGGTGTGGTAACACCTGCACTTAGGAGGCCGAGGCAAGAGAATTTCCATGATTTCTAAGCCAGCCTGGACTATAAGAGTGAGTTTAAGGTCAGTCTGAACTACACAGACCCTGAATTAAAAGAAAAAAAACCACAAACACACACACACACACACACACACTACGATTCCATTATCATGCACGAAAAACTCCTTTAGGTATTTTGGGTTTTTTTTTTCTGTTTTTGTTTAGCATCAAGCAGAACTCAGTTTTAAAATCTAGTCTATTGATTTCCAGGAGCCATGAGATGGTTTGCTATTCAGGTGTATGTTCTGTGTTTGCATAATACTTTATGTCGAGGTTGGCACACCTTTCAAGAAGGACAGGGCAGTGGGGATTACAGACAATCTCCCAACCTCCTGTTCCATTCTCAAGTATAGGGATGATAATCAGGTTGGACCAGATTAGAAAGATCAAACTATTTGTGCTTACATTTAATTTGTAAAACAAAGAATTGTTTCAGAATGAAGTAAGATGCTCGGAGAGCAGGAAAGACCAACACATGGGGATTAAAGTTAGAACTGTGCTTTGCTCCGGCAGAAATCCAGATGGTTATTGATTGAAAGGGGTGCAAGGGAACCTTCCAGAGTAAAGGAAATGTTCTGTAGCCTAATCTACATGACTTACATACGTAAAAGTCAGTCAAACTGTAAATTTAGGATTTAAGCATCTCATGTTATACAATCTATACCTCCAAAAAATAGAGGGGAAGAGTTCCTGAGAAAGGCAGCCTTGGAAGAACACAAGTCTGTGATGTGTGGAAGGCACTGATACACTCAGCAACTTGTTTTAGCTTAGCCAGAGTGATGCAAGCTAATGTCAAGAGCAGTAGCCCAGGCAAGACAGAGACCGAAAGGAAACTGCACAGAAGGTGAGACACTGCAAGCTTTAACCAAACCAGAAGAATGAGAGGCAGAGAGGTGGGGCTGGGTATGATGTTGGTAGTCAAGGCAGGCAGAGCAGAAGCACAATGTGCAAGGTTTTTCTTGTTGCACTTAAAGGTACGGGAAATCAGCAGCTCCAGTGATCCCACCTCATGGGGAGGACAGTAGCTGAAACTGGTACAGCTTTGAGAGACAGAAAAGTTTGCTCAGGCATTTCAAGGTTTCCAGGGCCCCAGGAAATCAAGCAGGAACAAACTAAAGTCAGCAGGCACCTACCTCACTGGTTGCTGCACTGAATAGCTGCTGGATATTGTCAGTCAAGCTGTGAGACCTCTCCAGCAACTACTGTGCCATTAAATCCCTTTTTATGGTGTAAGCCAGAAAACCATCCTTAGCTGCAACTATTCGAAGTATTCCTTGGTGGGACTGCAGTTGGCAGCCCACAAGCCACTTTCCATTAGGTGATGGTTAAAGGCTGAGGCTGCACTTTGTAGAAGCAGGTGTGAGTCTGCTGGTCTCAAGGGGAAGGTGCATTTAGCCTTGGCCTACACATCTGCTGGGCAGAGGTGGTTCTGACATGATAGTATTCGGCATGGCTGTAACTGCCCTTATTGTGTGGAGGGGAAAGGCCCCATAGGATTTCCCTGCAAGTTGGTAGCAGAATTGATATTAGAATTTCCTCTATAGTGTGGGTGAACCTGCATTGTCACATACCTGAGATGCAAAGTCTTTGGCTCCATTCCATATCTCCCTGACCTACGATAGAGGAGAAATAAAGATAGGTAGAAAGGAAACCCTGTCAGGGTGGGTTACTAGGGATCAAATCTAGGGACACTCTGCCACAAAGCTACATCCAGCCCTTTTACTTTTTTATCTATGTTTTTAGACAAGGCCCACTTGGGTCTTCAACTTGAGATTCTCCTGCCTCAGCTTCCCTAAGTGCTGCTTGCTTCACTATTCTCGCTGAAAATCTTGTATAAATTGTATTTAACAACAACAAAAAAAAAACTGCAGCTTTAGGACACAAAAGTTCCCCAAATTCACAATGTCTTTTTCCTTCAAAGAAACTCCCTCCAACCCCCTGCCCTGCAAAAGGTCTTAAAGACACAATAAGCCTGTAAATTGGACCTGTGCTTTTCCCCTGTAAACTGCTCTTACTCCCACAGACCTCAGTACTCTTGAGCAGCAGCAGATCTCTAAATTTCAAACACATCCAAATAGTTTGCACGCTAACCTAGTCTATTAAATGGGTGGCCTGACTATGTCAGCTATTTTGAAGATGCTCTCAAGACCACATAAAACCTCCCAACCCAGATCCATAATGTGTCTTTCTGGTAAGGACCCACACTCCATTCTCTCCAAGTGTGTACTCTTCCATTCTGCCCAGTCCATCTTTCTAATGTCTCTCATTGATGTGTCCTGTAATTTTTGTGTTTGTGTGTGTGTGTGTGTGTGTGTGTGTGTGTGTGAGACATAAGTCAACAAACCTAAAACCTACCCTGTTGAGGTCCCCGTCTCTTCTTTGGGGAACCTGCTCAGACCCCATCTGGTGACAACCCCAATCAAAATCTAGATTTTAAAAAGATCTCCGGGTTCTTGATGTGCACATTGGTTTTCCTCCCTAATACCACTGAGCCTACTAACTGTTCCCTGATAGAAAATGAGAAAAGTAAAGAATAAAGTAATCTCTCCACCAGAAAGCTTCCTAATTCATTTTGCTTCCATAAAACAATTTGAAGTCTTTCAAATAAACATATTCCATTTCTGATCATTTTTTATCACCCCACTAAAAAATACAATCAAAGACATCTGTCATTCTTTGCAGGAACTTCTGTTCAGTACAATACATTGAATTTCTTCACCAAGTTGATCTAATGCCAGCAAAAAGGAAAGAGTTTCATTAGCCTTTGAGGCCTCAGTGCAGTGTTTTCATGTAGGCATCTTGAAACATCAAGTTGAAGCCAGGCTGAGGACCATTTGGTCTCTGTCAACCCTAGAGCAGTCAAGCTATTGAGAACCTCTGATACAATTAAACGAGACAGACAAATCTGCAGTCTCTGTCAGCTCAGCCTTGGTTAAGACATTCCTAGTTGTAGAAGAAATTGGGACCATGGAGCCCCGAAAGGGCTACATTTCGTTCTGAACAGGAAGAGTCAAGTCCTTAATGTGGAATGCAAGGGTGCCTTTGAATGGGCCTCTACCCATTAAGTGGGGATGGTACCCGACAAGTTCCCTCGCCCATTCAAAAACCCCATCTGGGCATAGGACAGGCAGTCCATTCAGTGATCACTGATTCAGCCCACAGTTTTTGAGCACCTGTGTCAGGCTATGTGCAGTACTAAAGGTGTATATAGATAGACCCAGTCCTGGAGAGTATCTTGGGCTGCAATTAGTCCCACAAGACATAAACGAAGCCTAGGATAGTGTTTAAATATTCTACTCCAAAAATCATCCAACCAGTGCACCTAAAAGTAAACCCTCTCTTGAGTGTTTTATGTATCTTATCATATCCACCTGTAAATACACAAAAATCAACAAATTTACTAGACTATGATAGCTCTATAGTAAATACAATGAAAATGTTGTTAAATTTATAGTAACCACACAATTTATAATAAGATAAATCTAAGAATTATTTAGGATCCATAAGAAAATTGTAAAATTTGAGGGGAAATTTTAGATGTTAAAAGGAAGCATGGTTTCTTGATAAGACTCAATGACATAAATATGTCAATTTTCTCCTACTGAAATGTTCAGCACAATCTCCATAATATTGCTGTAGTAAGTGGTTACCAGTGTTCCAAGGGGATTTAGAGACATGATCTATGGTGAACGTGATCTGTGTCTTGATTTTAGTGGGAGCTACACAAC